TTTTACTCAAAAAGTAATTAAAGGAAACTACTGATTACGGAAATAAAAATGTAATTGAAAGTTACTAAACTACTCAGAAAAGTACAGTAACTTGAGTAGAGTAGTTGAACTCCGTACAAGTCTGCAAAGAACCTACTAGAGCATCAACAGACGTCGTTTACAGCGGTGCGAAGAGCCCCTATAGTAGCTCTCGCTCATACCTATGCACATCAAAGCTCCTTTCCCTGTGTCCAACAAAACACTGACGAAAAAAAAGAAACGGATTCTCAGGAGCAGACGAAGCGCCTAATCAGGTGAGCTCTCCGAATGTGGCCGGAGTGCCCCGAGAACAATGGCGACCTCGGGTCATCTCTCCGCGTGCCGATAATGACTCAAGAGCTGCTGCCTCGAGTGAAATGCCGGACACGCCGCAGCGGGTGACGCGCACTCCCGAGGAAGCCAACGACGCTGGCTCAGCCAGAGAAAGGGGCGCTCGTTTCGCATTCCCCCGTCAAGCAAGGCCAACACGCAGCCAAACATCGCAGATGCGGGAAGCACACGATTCGATCGCCTCGGGCTTGTTTAGTCTTCCTTTTATTGTGTTTCTTTCTAAGCATTTTGGCTGGCTGGATCACAAGCGCTGCCCAGGGATCAATCCCGACCTCTGTCCGATCTGCAACGGCGTGTGTTTGCGTCTCCTGCTCGACGAGTCCAGGCGTCGTAATGGCTTCCCATGTACACGGTCGGCATACCCCGAGGGCAGACAAAACTCAGCTGCCCGGGCACCGAAGAAGCTCCTTTTGAATTCTCCGCATTTCTTGATATTGGAGGCCGTTCTTTGTACGCCGTCTTGCTCTTCCTCCGCGCAGCAAACGCGAGCGAATCGAGAACTCGCTTGAGCACTAATCATTAGTTCCGAAGGCAAGAAAGAGAAGGAAAGCTAATCAGAAAGTTTGTTTTCGACTACGAATCGAGCCTCCCACAAGTCTCGGCAGACAAAAATTACATTTCTTGCAACTTTGCAGCTTTCGAGCGCGATAAACCTGCCATTAAAATTGGCTTTTCCAGTCAATAAGCTGTGCGCGTGCGTCGAGAAATAATTCAAAGGGCACAAATCTACAACGGCCAACGGCCTTCGGAAATTGTATGGCGCACCAATGACGGGAAAATTGCTCTAAGCTCCAACATAGCGTTCTCGGTTTTCGGTAAATACCGATAAACCCCGATAAATAACCCCGAAGGGGTCGGGGTTTTCTCGAAATCGGGGACAAAGCGAAAAACCTCGAATTGGAGCTGCCATTGAATACAGAAATCCCCGGTTTTGGTTAAAGAAATCTGCAGCATTGTTTCTGTGTAACCCGCACTATCTGTCCTTGAGGTGGTTGTTTTTCCTTTGGGGACCTTTGCCCCCGTCCTGTCGTCGGAACCGGGATGACGTTTTTCAAGTACTATTTGGGTCACGGGCGTAAGTTGCACGGACCCTGGAAGAGGTAACAAATTTATAGACATGCAGTCGTTTTATAAAATTAGCCCAGATAAACCCTGATTGTTCACCCGGCGCTGAAAATAAACACCGAAAAACACAGATTCTATAAAACAGCAATACGAAAGCCCGAAGGGGCAAAAAAAGGAACCTGAATTTGAAGAAAAACCAAGTCCGAAGCGACGGAACCCTACAGTTCTATATAGAGTTGCTCGGAGGACTGCCCCGAAGGATCTACAAAGGGGGCAAGAAACTCTAGATGGCCCTCGGCGACCTCGAAGCACCTCGTTGCAAAAATCCCGGAACACAGCGCTCCTGCGAGCCGTACAATTGAACGGTTTTGAAAGGCTACCGAGAAGAGAGCTGCCAACCCTACAAACAAAACAAATCAAATAAAAAAATAAAAAAAACACGAAAGACGATCACCGAAATGGAGACGAAAATAAAAATTCTTAAGGCGAACAAAACCTGAGCAGTGTCAACGTTGCGGCAGTCGAATTCTCCAAACAACTGCTTGGACTAAATAGTGGTCAATCGTTTAATGTAAAAACCCGACAACACTTTGATATCTTTCTCAATTCATTCCAAATAAGCTCGGACTGAAATTCCAGTCGTGGCATGCGCGATTGCTTCTCGGCAACTCGAATTGACGCCCCACAGCCTTCAGAGCACAAACAGCAGAAACGGATCGAGATTTCCGCAACGAACATTTGGGAGACCAAAATCTCGGGATAAGCCGTGTTTCCCTTCCGCACTTCGGTAGGCAATCGTTACTTCGATGGACGAGTTTCATTTCTTGTTAACATGTTTCAAAATATATCGCGGAAATGAAAGCCTGCAAGAGACTGGGGCAGACAGATTAGTTACAGGCTTTCATTTCCTAGAGATCTGACCAAGCGTGCTCTAAAAATAGTTGCCAGTTTTCCCAACTGTTTTTTTCTTCTTTTTCTTACGCGATGGCCCCCGTCGCGCTTCTCGTACCAATAAAAATTAGAAAAAAGTGGCGTTAAGGATATATGTATCTACTAATCTTAGGCAACCGGAGATCCGTAGAACTCGCAATTTCGAGCGGAGGACTAGCAACCATCACGGGGACGTGGAATAAAACAATCAGGGGTGGAAGCGGGCTAGAGCCTTTTGTATCAGGGCTGGGAGCAGCAAAAGTCCCACTTTGGAGCAGTTTTGGAGCAGTAAAACGCTCGCTTTAGAGCAGCTCGGGAGCAGCAAAAATAAGTTTTGTAGCCGTAGAAGTAGGTTTTGGAGCAGGTCACGGAGGTCAAACAAATGTCTAAAAGTGATTTGTTGTTTCTAAATGTGAAAATGTAGCAAAAATATATGCATGCACATCCCAGAATAATTTTCAAGCAACATACATACACATTTTTCTATTTCTATTGCATTGAAATATGGAATATTGGCAATTTATGCAAAGGAAAGGCTTTGAGAACCATTCCGGCAGCAGGCAGAGTCATGATAGACTTTATATGGGAGGCCCCGACAATAAAAGCCTAACTTGAGCCACGCCAGTACAAAACCGTCTACTTAATAGACCAATTGTAAACATGTATCCAGAAAACTAAACCACTGCAAGGTGTCAGATAAACTACCTTCGCTGACTACAGTTTTTGTTTAATAAAGAATACATATGTTCAATCACTACTTAAAAAGCCCTATATCAAGTTTAGTAACAAAATACAAGGCTACTGACATTTGACAAAAATTCAGATGCAAAATAAAATGTGTATTTTATATCTTTAGACTACCACAGTCACTCGTACATATGCAGCTTTAAGCATCGACTAGAAGAGCAACGCAACCTTATGTACTCCATAAAATGCTGTGCATTGCGTGTCTCCATAAAAAAAACTAAGGTACTACAACATGCTTCAGAATAAAGCAGTCCTTGCTGACCTGTTTTCATTAAATACAAATGTTCTTAATCCCTGTTCATAAAATACAGTAATCCCTACACCCAAGTTAACATACAAAGCTATATCTAATTACTTTGGATGGAAAAATATATTGTCTTAAAAATATCACAGCCACTAATACATTTGCAGCATAAACACTGACTAGAAGAGCCCACAGGCTCCATGTTAAAAAAAAAGGGTTGTGACTAAGCTGAATCTGTGTAATTTAGATACAACTGAAGTTCACCTTTTTTTTCACAGTTTGAAGAGCAGAGTCAATTTCTTTTATGCGCTCGAGTACTTTGGGCAGTTTAGAGTTCACATGTCTTAGCAGGAGGTGACCACTCCCCACCTTGTCCATGTCCTCAACTGCCTCACCCTTGCTTATGAGTTCTTGTGCACTCAGTAGAAGTGCTTTAAGAGAAGACAGTTTGAACGAGACTGAAAATAAGATGTAGCTGATCAGGCGCTGATCCCTGCGGCGCAGGCTCCCTTCTTACGTGACAAAAAGCCCACCAACTTCTCTCTACCCTACCCAACCCCCCCCCCCCCCCCCCCCCCCCCCCCCCCCCCCCCAAACCAGAAACTTATACGAGTAGAGTGGCTATAGCAAGTTAAGGTGCGTTCTTGACAGGAATCGGCAGCGCGGAAGTGTTGTACGGCATTTCTGATGTAACCCCCACTCCTCCACGCTAAAGGAAAGAAACAAAAAAGTGTGTAGCACTGCCAATTAACCAACTCGCTTAAGATCGCGGGTATTGTTTTCGCCAGTGGTTTGACGGCGGTAGACAACACACGACAGCGTGCGCATTCGCGCACACAATGATGGTTTTGGTTTCGTTTTGACAAGACAAATTGAGCTCGAGAACGCATGTGCCTGTGCTCGCGATTCTTCACGGCTAAGCGTCCAAATATGGTAGGCTACCAAATAACAGGTAAAGCGAGTAAAGACCACTTACTTCTGCTCATGTTAATGGCCAAGGTAGCCCACCGGTGCCGAGGCACCAACTCCCTCGATCACGGCGAATCGAGACCACGGGCAACTGCATGCGCGCTCCAACCGCGCCAACCAACTATGCCCGAAACCAAACCGATGTGTTCGTATATAAACTCTTTGTAGTAAAAAACGACATCGCACTCTCGATGAACTAAAATCGACGCCTCGCCCTGAGGTTAGACATGGTTCGGAGCCCCAGTCGAGTTGGTACGAGTCACCCGCAGTGACACCTAAACAAAAGTACACACCTCATGGTGGCCCGTGGCCAACCGTTTTCCGCAAAATTTAGAGAAAACACTAAAAAAAAAAGTTGAAATTGGCGTTTAGGAGCAGGCTGGCGCAGGGAAGTGAATTGGCGCAGGGTGGCGCAATTGGCGCAGCGCTTCCACCCCTGAACAATGAAGTTTACAGGACGCCAATGCACAACCGCGGCTCGTTTGCCGAGGTCTGGTCGAATGACTCATCCGAGCCCACCAAGCCCACCGAGGAGGATCCTAATGACGCGAGACACGAACGGCGCGCTCGAAGGAAAACTCGGAAGCGACCTCGAGCACTTCGGGGAAAGCAGGCTCGGGGAACATTCGAACGAAGCTCGACGTTTTGAGCGGCCAACACAAGTCAAGAAACTCACCAGTGCTTCCAATATCGCCTTCATAGCACCGAAGATGTAGCGCCGGCCGTTCTTCAGCTCCGAGTCGCCGTTGGGCATGACTGACTATGCGGAAGACCCGAAAAAAGAAGGTCGCAGTTCACGAAGCGGCGAGGAGGACACAATGCGCCCAGCAGCGTCGTCTTGACCGTCTTGTTGCTTGGAAGCATTCGGCAGCAGGACCTCGCGCATCCAGTTCCGTATCGCTCACCCGAGGTGAAGCAGTCGCCGAGAAACCGGGGCGGGCCCCAATCGGCTCGATCTGGCGCGCCCGCCGCTCATGAGGCCGCCGTTGACGTCAGCGAGCGACGCCAGCGCCCCGTCAGCCGTTGTGGGAGGCCCCCTCGCCGCTCTCTGCTGGCCGGCTTTGCTGCGTGACGCCGACCACGCGGCGTCCCCGTTGCCCTTCTGCGCTGTGTTGGGGCAGGCTCCGATAAAGCAGGGGCGCGCATCATAAGATGGGGTCGAGCTCTGCACGATTTGGAGGCCCGGCCGGCTCTCCATTTTCGACAGCCGGCCCGACGCTAATTGGCACGGACCCCGCTGAGGCCCGCTCTATTTTCGCCCAGTATGAACAACTCCGGTGCGGCGTGGCAGCTCGCTTGCTGACTGCGGTACCAGATACTAGGGAGTTTTAGGGAACCGTGTTTCTACATCGGTACAATGGGCCCTCGGGCACGAACTGCGCTACCACAACACTCGCATGTGCGCAGTTCGTACCGGAGGGCAGTACCGTATCGGGCGTAGACTAGGGGGGGCATCTGGTGCCCCCTAATGAGATCCGGGCCAGGGCCATGATCCTTACCGAGACCCTGTTTACGTGCCATGAAACGAGCTTCTAGTACTGGCATGTAAACAAAATAACGCCCACGTTGGCTTTATTGACAAAACACATGGGAAATGGAATCCCAGCGTGATATATATATATATATATATATAAGGCACGTAGCCAGAGGGGAGGACCGACCCCCGAAATCTTCCATTTTGCTGGGACCTCCTCCTCTCCCCCTCCCCCTCATACAGCATTTTGTCATGGGTGCCCCCCCCCCCCCCCCCCCCCCCCCCCCGAAACAAAATCATAGAGTTATTATACTGTACGCTGGAGGTTCAACTGGCGCTAGTGTGCTGCTGCAAATTGAAGCAGACAGCAACCAGTCCGAAATTGACTTCCGGTAATGCATTTCTTTGGGAAAAAGCCAGTGCATTTTCTCTCTGCGCTCTAATATAAGAGAAAATATCACGAATAATTCGTACGTACTAGGCACATTGGAACATTTCTCAGTCACGCAGAGAAAATAATTGGTCAGTTACGGCGTTTTTATTTGATATTCGTGGCATGAAAAACAGTGCTAAAACTGCTTCGTACGTGTATTTATGTGCACTGTCGGACACTGTTAGCGCGAACACGACGTCGGCGCTTTTCAGCATGAGGGATATACGTGCCAAACGAACGAAAGACATCTGGAAAACTAAGAGACACGGCAAGAACTACGCAGTAACACTGGATAAGTGACTCCTTGTGCATGCAGACGATCAAAATAAATTGAAAGCCACGTAATATAGCCCGATTCCCAATAAATAAGTACTGCTTTATTCTTTCTGCTCATGAATATGTGCGAAGATGCTTTTTGTTCTGGGTTCAAATCATCACCCGCACGCTCCAAATCTTCGCAAATAGGAAGAAGCCAGAAAACAGGTGCCCGATAAAAACTGCCAGACATAGAAAATAATAAAAAGACACACCTTCTGTAGCCCACACACTTTATTTTTTACGTTCGAATGTTTTTTTAACCGATCGTAAAGATGCGCACGACGGAGTCATTTCCATCCAATGACAGGACGGACACATATAGATTCCTTTTGATCGTAATTTTGCTTAGAATGGCCGCTCGTTTTTAGGTACCTGCCATGGTACAGAGGTTTGGGCCTGAAATACAGCGAAGTTTGAAATCGTTCTGCAGTAAAGAAAAATGCTGTAACTAAAGCAATTACACTTTTACAATGTTAATGAAGGTGCATAATATTCGTTACGACCCAAATAACCAAAGTGTTCCTTGTTATTTTCCGGCGAAGAGACAAATTTCACACGTGTTTTCCCATAGGAATGCACAGGAGCACCGCAAAAGTAGACTGGTTGCTGTCTGCTTCAATTTGCCTCCCGGAAGTCGCATAAACACTAGCGCCAGTTGAACCTCTAGCGTACGTTATAATAACTCTATGAACAAAGTCCTGGCTACGTGCCTGTATATATATATATATATATATATATATATATATATATATATATATATATATATATATATATATATATATATATATATATATATATATATTTGAGACGAAGGCCGGACTCCGGCCGAAACGTCGAAGATTAAATCCTCCGTTGTTGCTATTTTCACTAAGGGTTCCTTTCCTCTTCTGTATATATATATATATATATATATATATATATATATATATATATATATGAAAGTGGAGGGAGTTCCAGAAAAGGCCTTTCTTTACTGCACCAAAGTTTCAAGCGGGGACGCTTTTCTTCAGGGTGGGATGGACATTTCACAACCATCCCACCCTGAAGAAAAGTGGTCCCCGCTTGAAACGTTGGTGCAGTAAAGAAAGGCCTTTCCTGGAACTCCTCCACTTTCGTTTTACGTCCAACCGGCCCGTTGAACCTTCTTACCGTGTACATATATATATATATATATATATATATATATATATATATATATATATATATATATATATATATATATGGGTGCTTTCATCTCAAATCGTGCAGGCAAAAAGGGTCGAATTTTTAATTTCGATGAAAAAAATATATGTTATGGCGCCGTTTCTAAAACCGCAGTCGACACAAACCGCAAGTTCGTCGGATTTTTTGTTCTCGACTTAGGAATTTTTAAAGAGGCCGCGGCGAAAAGCAGTGTTTTTCACACCCGTCGTGGGTCGGATGTTTCGCTTGATCTCCCGCCATGGATTTTTAGTCCACATTATATTATCTTTCTTGAAACACTCTGTGGATACATTTAAAAGGCTCCAATACCATGAAATAATTTTAGGCCTTTTGCTTTTTTTCTGTAAAAATGTCAAAAACGCCTCATCGGTCAATTGTTGACGAACTTTGACAATTAATTACTGGCGATCTACTTGGGTTACACCGATATTTTTTATGTCCACGGAGAGCCCAAAACACGCTCTTTATATTTATTATAAAATGACTTGGCTGTATAAATTATCCTTTGCGGTACGTTTACGTTAATATTATGCAACAACCAAAAAGTACCATTTTTGAAATTGAGTTTCTAAAAAAAAACATTTTTTTATTTTTTTTATTTTTTGTTCAAATGTAGACATGATAGTTGTCTACACGAAAATTAAGCCTAGAAAGTGTATATTTTGTTCGTATGTTCTACATTTAAGCATCAATATCGTACAAAAACGTGTTTTTACGGCTCGAAATGGACTTGCGAATTGCGCGTCTTCAGAAGCTTGGAAATAGTTTTGTTCTTTTTTTCAACGTTCCCACATAAAAATGAAATACAGTATTTTCACCTTGATATATTTATTGATTATTTAAATTTTATTATAGGCGGCAAGCTACATCGGAGGAGTTTAAAAAGAGAAAGCAACACTTCTTAACAGACCAGCAGGTGTCGTAAATTTTTAACGTGTAGGAGTCGGCAGACATCGTATTGATTCGGGGCCCTCATTGGCTTGCATGAACGTCCTGCCCTTTCGGAGCCAGCAGATGACCACGACCTTTCGCGCTCGTTGTGTTAGGTGGGACGGCCCGTGACAGTAAAGCGAGCAGCGCACCCTGTGTCACGAGGAGTGAAATGGTACGATTGTGTCGTTGACGCGGCGAACAGTGACAGCCACCCAGGAGGAGTCTGTGAGAGTATTGCACAAGAGAAAGCAAAGGAATCGTTGCCTGAAAGGATGAGGACACCACGGCCTTACAATGTCGACGGTCAACAACTCTTCTGCCAGCCAAAACAATGCCGCGTGCGCGCTAAAACCGGCGGCGCGGGACAGAAATCCCGCAGACGCACACACGAAGATGGGCCGGTTTCGTTAGGGATGTGGGGAAATTTGAAACCAGCCATCCGTGCATGCGTGAAACGATACCACCTGTTTGCCCTAGCTTCGAGCGCCCTATCCTTACCTCGAAACGGCCGTGATCTCTGTCTCTCTCCGGGGAGATCCGATAGCACCGAAGGGTTATCTATTAAACTTGAGGAAGAAAACGAGAAGGGAGTGTTTAAGTTTAATTATCCCCACAAAACCCGCTCGTTCTGTCCTGATAAAGGGTTATCTCTTTTGGAAACAGCAAAGCCCCGAGATTGACATTAAAACGAGCGTGTTGGTAAATATACTTGTGTTTGTATTCTGCCCGGAGACTAGTTGGGTCGAAGTCAGCCTCCTTGTCAACTATAACCGTTTGTGAAGAGTGGGCTTCTCCCGAGATGAAACGTTAGCGCCGGCTGACGTGTTCTTTTGAAAAAGGGAAGGGGAACGAGAAAGTTTGAGTAACTGCAGAAACTACCTCGAAAGCTCCTTTCCCGATATGAGGCTTGAAGCATAGTCTCGGTTAGCTTCTCGCGCATCGCCTGCTCGAATCTATTCTTCACTTTCTTTCGTACAGCCACTGTTCCGCACAGCCGTCGTGAATGTGCGTAATAGAGGGAGGAACAGATTCGAGCATCATCTGGACGCCGTCATATCCTGCCAGACTTCAATGTCGTGGGACCGACTCGTGTGTGTTTCTTCGCACCGCTGAACTTTGTTTCTCGGGTGCGGTTTTTTCTGAACTTTTTTTTTTTCTCAGTATTTTCTTACTAACTGTTAGCACTGTTCAGTTGTTGGGTTTATTTCGTCATGGCGTAGCGGCCTGGCGATGATGTAGAGAGCGTGTTCGCACGCATTTGGTTGCTTCCCGTTTAGGGAATGCCCGGGGGAGTTGGTTTTTGTTCTTGCCATGTGCGGCTGAGTTTTTCCGTCTTTATTAAATTATTGATTTTTTTTTTGTTTTACCTTTACGTGCCGTCGACTTCTTTGTCTGACTCTCCACCAGGCGTGGACCTATCGCCTTGCCACCGCTCGAACCTAAATACTTTATTTTTTTTTTTAACGCAATTTTCGTTAAGATCGGCGTTGGGCAATTTAATTCCTATTTATTTATTTTTATTTCCTACCCCTCTCCATGACACACTCTCTGTGTGTTTCGGACCGTTTCTGTGTCACCACTTTTGTGTATTACGGAAGTGAAAGGACATTCCCTGGTGACCTGTGCGATGTGCGGT